GTATGAGTTTCCACGGAGCACAGTGCCTTAGTGCTCACTCCCCAGTTTATTCATGTGTTTTTTTCAGGTCAGCAGGTCGGGCCGGGAGCGTGACGTGACGGGACATATCGGGACTTTCAGGACATTTATATATATGTTTTGGACTGTATAACTATGACTTACGCTTCCGCTTGACTCTTGATGACTTATGATGATGTTTTGATATATTTTGACGAACTCATCGTATTTTGACGAACTTTCAGAAAATAAAGTTTTCAGTAACCGGACGTTTTTATTAAATTAAAACAACGGTTTTCTAAATTAAGTAAGGATTTTTCACGGTAGCACCCCAAATCAGTTTCGCAAAGTAAAAATGTTTTAATTTTCAAAGACTTTGCGAATAATTGCGCAACTCTGATTTTACAGTAAGGTGGGGTGTTACAACTGTGATTCCAGTTTTTTCCAGATCTCATCCGCCGATTTGAGATGCATAACGTGATACATAACTTCATCTGCAAGGCACAACCGAATTGTCCCAGCCGCCCGTTCCTGCAGATCTTGCCAATCATCGTCTTCCATCCCTTTAGGCTTCTCTGCACGCAGCCCTTTCTGAATTCCTTGTTGCGCCAATAAATCTTTTACTCTCGCTGCCATAATCCGAAATTGCCATGACCATCAAATTTCGAGACCTCGAATTTTGATCCTCCCGTCATCTTCGTCGCCCAATCAACCAGGCTCTGGTACCACTTGTTGTGTGAAGATGACAATATAGCATACGAATTAAAAACGAGAAAGTAAACAACACAAGATTTACGTGGTTCGGCAATATGCCTACGTCCACGGCGGCTGAGGGATCTTTATTATTCTTAATCGTCACAAATACATCAATACACCATGTATTTATACTAAAACCCTACAAGGTATAAATTTACTTAAATACCTTGTACCGTACCGCGGGGGCTCTGCCCCTCGCTCCACTCCGCTCACTTCGCTCGGTCGCTCCGCTTCCCTCGCTACGTTCGCTCCGCTTCCCTCGCTACGTTCGCTCCGTTTCGCTCGCAGGCATCAGCCTGCCTCCTTTCTTTGTCAATATATGAGCCATATCAATACCAAGGCAGCTGTCGATCCCACCACCTCTGAGACACCCCTAGTCCCCAATCCCCTCCCCAAGACAGCCGTCGTTACCGCTGCTCCTTCTCCACAGTCCTCGTCTTTCGAGATTAAAGTTGATCGACAAAGACGACCAGGACGTGATATTGTAAGTCCATATCTACCCGAGGACTACAGACGGTATCCAAGAAAGGAGCGCACGTTGATCGGTTCATCGCATCCGAAGATAAAGAAATGTAAGTACATCCAAAAGATCTTTTATTGTTTATATTAAAAAAATAACGTTTTATTATATTATTTAATAGGAGGAATGTCAGCATTTTATATGAGGTGGGCCGGGAGTGGTTTCAGTTGTTGCTTAATCTAGATGAAATGATGTTGGACGAGGTA